TTTCTTCAAGAAGTGTATTTTAAATTACTAACTAAATATTTAAGAAAACATTTGGTGACTACTTAGCTGACTGATAGCAAAAAAAAAATGCACCAAATTATTTGAGAGCATTCCGCTATTAGCAGGAATGTGAAGATCTATTTTGAAAACCTCAGGTAAAATCCCTGCTTGTTTTATACACAGGACTAGTTGATTAAAATAGGACTGCTTGAATGAATAAGCAATTAGGATCTGATTACATTCAGGTAAACTGTAGTAGGCTTTACTTTAAAGAATTAATAAATGACTCTCAGCTGATGTCTAAACTGCTCTCAGAAGGTCATCAAGATCTCTTACTGCCCAGCCAAGTACTAAGATTCCTTCTTCATTGCCACAGTGCTGATTTTTAACAGATTTCAACTAAGTAATTTCTTTGTAGAATCGTCTTTAACACTGTGGTCACAGTTCCTTACCCATATAATAAAAATCATGCAAATATGTGTTTAGTTTATGCTAAAGACAGGCTCATTTAAATAGGGGAACTGATGTTCATTTACTCTAGTGTGAATGAAGCCTGCTGCAATGTTTCTAAAAGTGGATCTGCTCTAACTGCAAATCCAAGCAGAGAGCAACACTTTTACTATGCTCTGTGGCAACTGCACTCTAATGATGTTCTCAATTTTGCTGTACACTTAGCTGTTCTTAGAGCTGTATTTTTCTTAGCCAGTCTTTGCATGAGATATTGTTTCATACAGCGTGCGAGAATTCTACAAGGAACTCCAGTATGAAACACATATTTTGCAAGAGTTTTATGGCGATCTGGCAAGTCTTAATTACCTTAAAAACTTTTGCAGGATTAAAAACTGCCTTTCATATGAGAACAACTTGCTGGGATTAAAGACTATGCTTCATGAGGATGCTTCTCATGTAAATGTGCCCAGCCCAACTGCACTTCCATGTGCAACACTTTCATAGTAGTTTTCTGTTAACCCAAAGACCTTCTAAATGCAAGTTGATTTTGACTGATACTCTACTTCTCAGCTCCTCTTCCCACAAGGGAATTATAGGTTTTCCCAGCCTGCTCTGGGCAATATGTGTGGAACACTGTCCCTCGTTCTACATGTCCTGCATTCCTCAAATCTTCTTACAATTTTTTTTTTTTTATTAACTTTCCATCTATCCAGTCATCCATCTGGACTGAAAAGTTGCATATGCATATGGTGCTAAATCTAGCTCACTGTCTTTTGCTGCTGCAACTCTTCATCCATCCATGAGCCTTCCCCCTCTTGATTTTATCCCATGCTATATTAGTCTACAATTGATTTTAAACTCCAGGGACAAGAAGCAGCCAGTTCAAATTATTTGTATAATATAGCAGTGCCTGTAGCCTTCAGACACTTTGGGCACCTCTCCTGCGAGGCATTATACAAATACATTGCAAATGAGAATATCTGTCTCAGGAGCTTACAGGAAAGTCAGTCAAGACAAGGAGTAGAAAATATTATTGTTTTCCTTTTCCAAACAGAAAGGTAAAACATCAAGTCACTCAAGAACTATGGGACGGAGCCTGCATTTAAATAGAGATGTTTATACAGGATCATAAGCATGGTCCCAGTCTGACAGCTAGCATGAACACTTACAGCACTAAAGTAAACAGTGAAAGCTGAGCTATATTGAAAATAAAATCAGAAATCTGAATTTACAGTATGAAATAGAAGGGGGGAGAGAGATGATACCCTGGCATCACCTACCAACAGCAAGAAGAAACCAGTGATCAGGAGGAGGAACACTGGTGAAGAGATCTCCTCCTCATCCTAAGAGTTGCAGCTGCTGCTGAGAGAATACATATGCCACGAACATATAAAATATAGATTTATATATACAAATATACAATAGGAAATAGTATACAAATACTTACATGTAAAAATAGCTTTTTACTTTCCCCTTTTCACGATTTACAAAAGCATACAAAGTTTCCTGTTGGTTAATGTTTAAGTAGTGTGAGCAAACCCTGTGTGTCATGTTTCACACATAATTCTTTCAAGTGTTCACAGTATTGGCTATTACAGTGTTGAATCTGACATTCCAGATGTTAAAATATTCATATGACACATTCTAAACTTAAAGCATTAATTTAAATACAGTTTAAATAAAACTTACATGTATAGTTGAATTATGGTCATGTTACAAATGAGTGCTGCAGTTGAAAACATTCTATGAGAGTAAGCTTGGAAATACATATTTCAACTAGAGATGAGTATATTTTAAAATTCTTGAACTACCTCTTGATGTGCAGATAATACTGCAAGGGGGTGAGTTCTTTCAACTCCATTTGAAGCAATGCAAGCTGAGAGAACCCAGTTTTACAAATTATGCTCAGCAGGAAAGCAGATGCACAGAACAATTCATCATCAGATCCAGACACACTGTCACTTTCTTCAAGTATCCAACAGACAAGAGTAAATGACAGGTACCATTGTTTTTGTGTTAAGAATAAATGCTCTATAGCATTCTTCATCAGGAAAGTGCTTTATGGATTTAAATTAATCCTCACAACTCCCTTGTGAGGTAGATAGATACTATCCCTGTTTTTAAAGATGGAGAAACTGGAGATTTTAAATAAATGATGATGACTGCCTAGGAAATACTGTCAAAATGCAGGTATTTGGATGTTGGAGCAACTCGAAAACACAAATGGAGGTGTTTGTGAGACAACACTAGCCAGCTTAGGTATTGACAGTAGGGTTGGTAAGACACCCAAAGGTTCAGCATGGACTACAAAACACAATCTTTGCTAAGTGCCATGCTGCTGGAGCTAAACTGTGGGACAACCGCCTCCAAAAGTAGAAATCACATAATCCAACCAGGTGCAGCTTGACCAGGGTGGAAGGGAGCTGCTTTTCAGAAGTTATGAACCAACTGTGAGCCTTAGAGTAAACAGTATCTTCTCATGCAAGGGTTGTGTACAGTTCAAGAACCCTGTTTAGCTCATCTCTAATTTTACCATATATGCAGGTGCTCGCATGTGTTCAAGTGTTTTTTTAAATTAATTCACTCACAGACTTTGGAGGTCTGTATTTTACCTCATATTTCTTTTGTGGAAAATTTCTACCAATACCAGCTGCAAATATGAATTTTAATTACATAAGGTGATGAACAAGTTTTAAAGGACCATCATGTCCTCTGTGAGCACCTGTATATATAGGAAATCTCATCTGTCCTTAATTGCAACTGCCTTGAAATGAAATCCAGTTAAAGTATAAAGTGCATTGTGTAGAGTAAAACCCTAAGAAATAGCAAACAATGTGTCTGCCTCCCACAGATGATTAATTTGCTTAACAGCTGAACCATCACCATCTTTGTCTTCTGGCTTTTAGTTTAGTGTTACCTAAGCTGAGAAAGGCCAGCCAGATGTAAGCAAAACTGTTGTAAACTGAGACATTTTTGTAATATGTTAAGGGGGTGTTGAGAAAACCAGTATCAAGACACTGTCCAATTGGGGTGTGTAAATATTATTGTGTGTTTCTTGGCCCATTTAGCAAATACTTTCTTTTCCGTGATAAACCGATGGCCTCCATATGGAGCATTTTCATGCAGAAAGTATTCGTCGCATTCATCTCTTCCTGGCTCGTAATAGTGATAGGGAACTTTACGAAAGCCTTCTGACCTAGAGAAAAAACAAACAAACAAACAAAAATTATTTCCAATAATATAGATATATATTTCCAATAAGTGTATATATTAATATATACTGCTTCTCAATACAGGATATAAGCATCCTGGCTTGTATCAGAAATAGTGTGTCTAGCAGGACTAGGGAAGTGGTTGTCCCACTTCACTTGGCACTGGTGAGGCTGCACCTTAAATAACGTGCTCAGTTTTGGGTCCCTCACTACAGGAAAGACATTGAGGTGCTTTGCCTGTGTCCAAAGATGGGCAACAAAGGTAGCAAAAGGTCTAGAGAACAAGTCTCAACCAGCACACTCTTCCTCATAAAGAAGTGGCTGAGGGAACTGGGGTTGTTTAGCCTGGAGAGAAGGAAGCTCAGGGGAGACCTGATCATGCTCTGCAATTACCTGAAAGGAGGTTATAGCAAAGTAGGTGTCAGTCTCTCCTCCCAAGTAACAAGTGACAGGTTGAGAGGAAATGGCCTCAAGTTATGCCAGGGGAGGTTTAGATTGTATATTAGGAAAAATTTCTTCACCAGAAGAGTTGTTAAGCACTGGAACAGGCTGCTCAAGGAAGTGGTGGAGTCACCATCCCTGGAGGTATTTAAAAGATGTGCAGATGTGGCACTTATGGACATGGTTTAGTGGTGGACTTGGCAGTGCCAGATTAACAGTTGGACTCAGTGATCTTAAAGGTCTTTTTCAACCTAAGTGATTCCGTGAATTATCTGAAATCCTTTGTATGTGTCATCACCTGAGCTGCTTCACAAAATTGTATAAGGGCTTTCATTAGAGCATGATTTCAATTATTTTTTCCTATAGAAAATGAAGCTAACTGTATCTCTCAACATACACTGGTCTTATCAGTCAGTAAGAAGCTGATGGGCTGACTCTTACTGGTACTGCACGTTTTGTTTAACCAGTGAGAACTCAGTCCATAAGGCTCCATCCCTAATCAGACTGTTCTTATTGGATAGCCCCAGCTCTTGAAACTGGTTCTTGTACTTGGCTGAATAAGACAGTTATAAGAACAATATATAGAATTGCAGCTTTAAGGAAACCCGCCATTCTCTGCTGCCAACAGACTGGAGTGCTATCATGCTGTTTACTGGTTTTGCATCAGTGCTATGCAATGCCGGCTTGGCTGAACTCTGTGAGGACAACTTTAGTCCTGTCACCCCTCATCTCAGGGAGACTAATGTGTTTTCATAAACAAAGAACAACATATGTTCGTTCCATCTGGATGACTCAATCAGTGAGATCTGCAAGTTCTAAAAAGTCAGTCTCTAATGTTAAGATACCCTAATTAAATGGCTGTGACTCAAATCTCAAATTCTTTTTGTTAGGGTCTGCCAGGAATGAGTCCCACACTGGAATAACAGAGAATGAGTGAGGGTCTGCACAAGGGCTTTAGGAACTGAAGACCCACCAGACTGATTACATGCAAGACTTGAACCAGTCTAGGTACAGAATAATAGATCTGTGTTAATATCGTACACTGTTTATGACATTTCCTGGTTTTCTGAATGAAGAATAGTTATATTTTGTATTTTTATACCATATACTGTAGATCAAAACATTTAATTTGGACTTTTAAAGACTGTGTTTAGTTACACTTCTGACAACAGGATTAACCAATTGTCACTGTAAGTCACCAGCAGTTGTTGGTTGGAATTTATGTCAGTTTGCTGTGATAAAGCTTGCATGACTTGTTTTATTATCTAACTAGAAACATGCTACTACTCAAAACAAGTCATGTATAACCTAGAAAGTTCAAGTAGATTTCTCAATGGTGGTGAAATGTAATTTCAGGTAACTATCCTGGGCTAACCAGTTTCTTTCACTTCTAGCTGTATTTGGTATTCAGGGAACCAACATGTTAGTATTTCCTCTATAGATTTGTTTTAGCAGTAGAAGTAAGTACTAGAAAAGTAGAAGTCAGAAAAGTATGAACATACTCTGTTTCATGTAATTCAGAAACTGCAAAAGATCTTTTATTAAAAATAGATCCTTATGACAACCAATGTTAGATATTGTAAATGTTTTTATCAACAGTAAATGCCATATCAGGACTAAATATGTTGACAATACTGTCACATCAATGCCAAACAGTGGGAAATGACTGCCTGATCCATTCTGGGGATTTATGATATTAAAATAAATTGTGAAATTGTGACAAGACATCAGAATTGTAGATGCATGAAAATAATTTCCTGTGATCTTACTTGCAGTAAGTGTCATTTATCATCCCATAGACATGAATTCCATAGCAGGCATCCATAGCCAAAATTAAGGTAAACCAGCCCGTACTGAGATATGAACCTGACTGGACCCTGTAAAAATACAAAATACACAGAACAATTGCAATGAGAAATTAGCAACACTTTCCCAAAGAAGTACAATCTATTGCCTGGGACAAAAGGCATAAACCAACTTGACAATCTGTCAAAACAATACAACTATATTGAATTATTTATAGATATGTTCTCATTCTTCCCAGCTTGGGGCCTCAAGCAATTGCCCACAAAAGAGATACCATGTTAAATATCTGAAGCCAAACAAAGCGTCTCCCATAAGACAGAAAATAATCTGGTTTTACGTGTGAAGGATAACAATTAGTAGAGTGTGTAAAATGAGATAAATTTCACCAAAAAGCAAGCTACTGGCAGAGTTTGTGCTGTGCGCATGTGAGTATGCACCATCCTCTTCCACAAGCAAAATCTGAATTTGCATTGGACTTCTCTCAGCGTGAAAATTCAAGCAACAATTAAACTTTTAAGGTCATTTGGATTAAATATTATTATTTATTAATATATATATTACTTACTAATATATATATTAAACACTAGACTTTGAAAAAACATTACTCTGTACATATCCCTTTACATAAGTTTGTGCTATCATTCTTTAAGATAGCACAGCAGAGAGAAAAACACAAGAGGACAGTGACCAGATTGATAACGTTTGATCAAATAACTACATGCATTAAAGCAGTCCTAGAATATTACCTGGATGAGTGACAAGAAATAGTGAGTAAGGATTTGGCTCTCATGCTGGCTATGCAAGCAAATATATGCTCTGTTAATTGCAGATCAGATCCCATTCCATCTACTGACACAAATATTCCCAGTGGGGAACTGGAAGACAACAAAGCTACTCATGTAACCTGGGCAAGCAAGACTTAAACTGCCTTAAAATCTCGTAAGTAATAAGAGCACACTTTTTTCTCATTGCTTATGAACTGGTTGAAGTCCAGCTTTATGCATATATTGCTTTCAGTTTGATTGAAATAAATGAAAATAATTGTCTTAAAATTATAATTAACTCGTCAAATTTCCAAATAAATATATCAAACAAGTCATAAAATCATCTTAATTGAGCCCCAACTTTGGCTCAGTTTGAGAGAGCTGAGTGAGAAATAGGAAGGGATAATTTAGCTTTATGCCACATCTTTTAGCTCTTGTTTTTGGGGTACAGCAGGGAGCAGTCTGTTCTCCACCATAAGTTAAAGTAGTGTAAGGTTTGCACACAGTTAAGTTTTGTTGCAGAAGAACTCCCAAGCAGACCTATGTATGAATTAGCTATCCCCATCAACAAAATCTTCTGAAAACATTTTCATCGTGGGGTAGGAATAAAGCTTTCATGCGGAAAACACACCATCATACAGCAACTTATGCAGCCTGTAAAACCCAACTGTCCTGCGAGACAGAAGAAACAACCTCAAGTGTTTCTTGCTGGTTCAGAGCAAGAATGTAGTACGGTATCCTGCCTCCCAGGTAAATCTCCCAGTTACTGGCTTTTGGCTGATTCTGTGTTACTTCCTTGATCTTTCCTGTTGAAGTTTGACTAAGTACTAATTAGGATGACTGGTGAAAAAGTAGTTGTACAACCTTTATAATGGCCTTACCTGCCACATACATGACCAAGATTCAAATTCCTTCTCTGATCAGTACCTTCTATTATGGAGAGTAGAAAAGCTCCAAGGGATTTACTTTCCTAGGGAAACTCCAGTACACACCAGTTTAAACAATTTTTATTTTTTTTAATTGAAAAACAATTACCTCAACTCCCAGAGAGTTTTACTGTACTCAACAACACTGAAAGTAGTTTAGGCTACATGTTCTCTTTTTTGCCCATGTCTGTCATCTTTCATGGGTTAGCTGGTATAAACTTTTATCCCTACTGTTCCTGAAATGTCCTTTTCCTTTGGGAAACTCCTAAGTTTAACTGCTTTTGTAAAGGACAATCCTGGAAATAATAAATAAAGTGTTAACTTAGCACAGAAGAATGAAAATTGAAAACAAAAGGCAGGGTGTCAAATACCTGTGTTTCATTAAGTGGACACCAGCTATAATTGTGCTTCTTTACTTGACACTTTTATATCCACAAAACTGTACATCTGTTTATCTGTCCTGTTATGATCCTCATTTCTTCAAACAGAATGTTCTGTTACTGTCTAGCAAAGAGAATTCCCAATCCAATTCATGTTATTTCTGAGTAACATTTTGCCATGATAAAAAGCTGCATTGCTTCTAACTTGCTTTCTGCTCTTACACCAGAAGAACACTAGCCTTGAGCTTTTAAAGCCGTTTAGAATCATAATAATCATTTATAAGAACACTATGAAGATCAGGAACCTCCAGATAATGGAGGTTTATTGGAGAGTACTATATTGACAGTAGTGTCTGAAGCTTGCTATACTCAGGAGGAAAAAGGAATTTACAAAAAAGAATTAATCAATATTTCATGTTTTGTTTTAACACCATTGGACCTTAGTCCTCTCATCTATACACTACACTAGCAGGATAAATAAAAACAGCAGAGTGAGTTCCCAGATACCTTCCCTTGGAGATGAAGTACATGACAGAATACAGATTATATGCTTTAAAACAAAGCACATTTCTCCCATTTTTTTTTTGTCTGAAGATAAGTAGGGAGGCAAGGGAATATACTTAAGCAGTGGGGTTTCCAGATGATTTGGTAACACCTTAGAATTCAATCTGATACCATAAACATACTTTCAACATTCTAATGAAAACAATATTAGAACTATGAAAACAATTTTAGCTGTCCCCAAAAAGTCATACATCTCTGCATACCTTTTAAAATATTATCCCATAAAACTGTAGGGCAAAGCTATGTCTCAGCCCTTGCTATTATGCTAACATCGTGCACTCAATTTATTTCTCTACAGGAGAGCTTTACATGTTTGGGCAGGACTTTTGGAGACTCATTAGAAAGAGTTCCTCTTGTTACTGTAATTGAATTCAGATTTCAAATTTTACACACTGAAAAGAATCCTCCTTATGTGTAGCATAAGGCTATGTCACTGCACAAATCTGAGGGAAAGAGGACATTAATCTCAAAATAGGGAAAACAAGAGTTTGTTAAACAGCATGCATAGAACTACTATAGGCAAATTTATTGTGATATATGTGCATACAGCAAAGCCAAAATTGTTCCCTATAGCTCACAGTGACTTTTTCTTATACTCTAAAATTAATGGGGCACCAGATCTAGGCAGGAAATTGTCTCAACAGCTCAGGAGAGAATAATGCACTGTTTTAAAAAAAATGCATTTTAAAGATGTCTTTTTCTTTCATGACATGATTTACAGCTGGATGCAGCAATAAAAAGGCAATGCTCACAAAAAGTTACTTTGTCTGTTTATCTTGAAAATGAAAGCTTATTTTGGATACTTCCTACATTATTAAGATTCTTGAAGAAATGTTAGTGTTGGGATGTAATTCATTCTGCTAAATACCATCCAGCATTTCAGGAAAGTACATATCCATATGCTTAACATTAAACATATGAAAAGACCAATGGAATAAACATTATTAAGATACTTGAAAAAAGGTATATGCTTACCTATCTTGCTCTTAGGGAAGGTTTAAGTGCTTAAAATGTCATTATTTAAATTCAGAATGTAAAAGTAAGCTCCAAGATTAATATTTATTTGCAAGTTTCAAGTCTCAAAACATAGAATTTGCATTTTTAGAAGTGCTTTCCATAAACTCCAGCAGAAATAACTGATTACAGTTTCTCATAACACCTCAAAAAAGAAAATTGCCTTCTATATTTTAGAAGATAGTAAAAAATGTGTTTAGGATTGCTAGAATTGTAATGTGTGATACATTAAGATTTAATTAAAAATTAATTAAAAATAAAAGCAATTTAGACAGGGTTCATTAGTCTTAGCTTTCCAATATTCAACAAAAAGCATAAGAAATTGATATAAAGAAGATGGAGTAGAGAGTACCTTATAAAAATATTGGTGGTTGAAATTCATCTTCTTTGACATCTATAACCATGCTTTGATGTGGGCTAAATGAAGAAAAATCTAGTTCCTTCTCTTATTAGAGGAAAGTGGAGGAGCATCAAATATTTTCTTAATGATCAAGGGCAAGTGAGTTCAAATTGGATAAAAGTTTTATTGTCACTGGAGTTCTGATTTTACCATA